ATTGACACAGCTGTTCATGGTCTCCTTTGGCCCACAGTACCTCCCAGGCCTAGTTTAGTGTGGCTGGAAGCTGGGCACATCCTTGATCACTGTGAGCAATGATCTTAATTGCTCTTGGGGCCATGCGGGGTTGCGGAACTCCAGCATCTCCAGTTCCCAGGTTTGAGAAAAGTTCTCTTGTGCATGGCCCAACCAGGCTTGGAACCCTGCAGAGGCCAGTCTAGTGTGGCTAGAAGCTGGGCTGGCCAGTTTTTCTCTTTTTTAACTTGATTATTTTTATTTCTTAGAACATTTTTCTAGTTCATGGTATTGCAGTCCTTGTGGTGAGTTGGTACATGTACATAATGCATCTCAACCCCTTTTTTTCATCTGCTTTCCCTTCTTTCCCTCACCCTCTACCCATATCTTGATTACTTTTCTACACATTACAGTATGTAAGGTTTACATTCCATGTACAGGGTTAGTACATGTGCATAACAAATAATACATATTAATTCCTTTTTAATCTCTTTTCCCTTCCTTCCTTCCCCTTTCTATCATTTGTAGATCTCCTTCCTTTTTTGTGTGTGTTTTTGATACATCATGTTTACTTTCCTGTGTGGCACTGACACATGTACGTGATGCATGTAAACTGCTGTTGTTGATCTCAGTCTCCACTGCATATCAGGACAAAAGCAAAATGAAGACAAATTTTCTACCAGAGAACAACACACATGGTCTGGGTTCCAAATGTGAATGGAGTCCTTGTTCTCAGTAGAAACTTCTTGAAGTTGGCGTTTTCCATCTAGATTTCTATTAGCGTTCTGATGTCCTGAGCTCAAATTTAAAGTGCCCATCAACTTTGGCTCATAGCATTCTAGGGCTGCTTCAACCAGCATCTCCAAACCTTTCCAAATGCCTCTCTTGAACCAGTCCCAAAGGCTTCTGAACCACATGGTCATGGATTATCTCAGCAATAATCCCACGTCTCAGTTAGCAAATATCTTAGTTTCTTTGCCTGTCTGGGATACAATATCAGATAGCTACAAATTAAAGCACAAAAGGTTTATTTTGTTTAGTTGATAGAGATTTGCCTTAATTAGTTTTCTTGTTGCTGAGACAAAATGCTCAACAGCTGGAATAAAGAGGAAAAGGTTATGTAGCACAAAGATTGTAGAGGTTTCAGTACGTAAGCAGCTGGCTCCTAGACAGGGGTTTTGGCAGATAGGCCTCACAGAGGAGAAACACTTATGTTGCACAGAGGACAGCAAAGCACTAAGGAACCTCGAGAGCATCTTTCTGCCCCTTTTAGTCTCTATCTTGGCTACCAGGTTTAGGGTGTTTCCAAACCAATCAGTGAAATAATCACACACCCTTAATCCTAGCAACCCACACTAGATCCAGCCACCCCTTGAAAGATCCACCTATCTCTTCATGAGATTTGGGGGGGGGGCATCTAGACACAAGCCATAACAAGGTTTGAGTCCATAATCACCTGGCTCAAAAACAAGGGAGAATTGTAGAGGGGCATGGTAGCAGAGGGTTTGTTACTCATGGCATATCAGGCAGGAAGTAAGAAATGATCAAAGGAGGAGCAAATAAAATGTATCCCCTTAGACTCAACCCCCAGTGATCTATATCTTCCGACCAGATTTTAACTGGTCTGTCAACAGTACTCAGCTTAAGAATCCTGAGCAGATTTATGTGAATTTTGAAGCCCATACTAACTGAGAAATAAATCACACAGATTTAAACAACTACCAAAATCATTCTTTAATAGGGTCTGTGCTGCAGTTCTGGGTTTAGAGGTGAGGGGTCAGTACACTGGTGGGAGCCCTTCTAGACTAACCTGAAAAGTGCCTGTATAGTGTTGTTGAAGTAGCAGCTTCAGGCCTATGACTGTCAGAATTCAGACCCATCATCAGTACTGGGTTTAATGAGTCTCAGTTGTCATGGTGCTGATCCCGTGAGGGAACAGGGATAAACAAGGGAATCTTTTAAATGTGGCCGAAAAGTTAAAAATCAACAGTCTGATGCTTTGTTAAGACAAGATATGCTCACCCAGCCCACCACACAGATCATTTGATTCAGTTAGCCTAGACTGATCACATCACCTGCAACTTAGAGATAGCTCCACCTGATTCAATCTGACCACATCCATGGGGACTGCCCATACTGTCTGACGAATAAACATTTTCTATTTTCAAGGACAATGCAACAGAGATAACTAATCAAGGACATGCCTACTTTCAATCACAGCCTCAGCCCCAGCTCCCTCCCTATTTTCTCCTGCCTTATGGTAAACCATCCCTCTGACTAAGCTGCCTGAAACAAACCTGCCTGACAACTTTGACTTAATTATTGTAACCAATTATATAATAACCAAAATCAACTTTATACCTCCTGCTTGTATATCCCATATAAACTAGACCTAAACTGACTTGGAGCTGATGATTTGGACTTGGACTCCCCATTCTGCTGACATAATAATAAAGAGTTGTCTTCCAGCTCCTTGATGCAAAGGGTCTTCCATTTCATTTGATATCAGATTTCTGCAATGTAGAACGCTGGCTGTTGGATTTGGTGATGTCAGCAGGGGGTCCATCCAGATCCCTCCCTTCTTGATGATGACACAAAATCCATATTTTCTTCAGAAGGCAGTGGTAGTCTCTGAAGCGATGGAAGAGAGGAGGGCTGCCAACCCAGTAGTAGAGCTGCAAATATATTGCAGTGGAGTAGAGGAAAATGGCTGCTAGATACAATCAGGGTGGACACTGAAGCCAGTTGTCCCAGTTTACTGGGTAAGGAGGTGAAGAGAGTTGTAGGGGAGCAAATGAAAGGGTTGGTAAGGTAGTGATAAGAATTTGATGCTTCTTGCCTGTTCCACCTATAGCCTTATCATTTTTGCTTAGAGCAAAAATTACTTTGGCTGTTCAGGATTTGGAGTACTATTTCCATATTAATTTTAAGGCTATTATTTCTAGTTCTGTGAAGGAAGAATTTTGATGGGGATTGCATACAATTTATGGATTACTTTGGGTAAAACAGTCAGGATTAATGCTGCTAATCCATGAATTGTATCGATTTGCATTTTATAGTATCTTCCTCAATTTCTTTCTGTATTTTTCTGTAATTTTCACCATCCATTTTACCATCTTGAGTAGGTTGATTTCTAGGAATTTTACTTTTTAAAACTAATATGAATAGAATATTTTTTCCTGATTTCCTTTTCAGCGAGTTTATTAGTGGTATAAAGCAAAGGTGTTCGTACATTAATGCAGATTTTATATCCTGTTCAGGTCTTTTGTGCTCCACTTTGAAAGAGTCTTACTAAGATGCAAGGCTGCCTTTAGAATATTATCCTTCTACCTCAGCCTTTTCCTTGGTGAATTTTATAGGAGAGGATCATGGACCTGTGAAAGTACTGGTTGGAAAGGGAGCAGCTCACCCCAGATTAGCCAGGTCCTGAGGGAGATCCCATGTATCTCACAGTGATACTGCTTTAGAAGGACAGTGGCTGAAACTGTTGGCCTCAGGAACCAGAATCAGGAAGTCTGCCTTCGAGAAATAGTGCAATTCTATGGGAATATCAGTTCCTCCCCTCCTTTCTCCTCCCCTTAAATACCTTTCGACAGCTCAGCACAGAAGCCTCCAGTTCAGGTATCAAAGAAGCCTCCAGTGCAGGTGTCAAATCAGCCTCCAGTTGCAAAGAAGCCCCTAGTCCAGGTCAGCAAGATGCATCAGCTCTGCTTCTCTGGAGCTCTCCTTGCCCTCCTTGCCACCTCAGTGGTCTGCAACCAAGAGAAAGAGACCAGCGTTTCTACTCCAAGAAAATCTACCTTCTCAAAAAAAAATTCTACCTTCTCCCCTTCTTTCCCTAACTCTCCCGTCCAGTGCCAGAGCCTGAAGAAACAGAAGTGAAGGCTGAGGAGGGTCAAACTCTGTGTTTGGTGGTTTTTTTAGGGTGGCTGTTTTGGGTTTTGTTTTGAGAAATTAGGAAGCTTTAACTCCAAGTCTATTTGATGACAATAAGTTTGTTGTATCAAATGCACGCTAGACGGTACCACTTAATCCTGAAAACCAGCTCAGAGTTTTTCATTCTCTTTGGTCTTTGGCTGCACAGTAAGCTCCCTGAACCAGTGTGACTTTGTTACTGGAATTCAGAGACAAAATCCAGGGACCTGAACAGACAGCCATCAGCTCCATCAATATACATTATAAAAGAGACAAACAGTGGTGATGAGCAAGAAAGGAGTTTGTCCATGCTGGAAAGGACTGATAACAATAGTCAGTATCCATCCTTTGGAGGCTTCCAGAAGTTTAAGGTTTTCCAGAAATGGTCAAAGAAGGTGATTGCTGGTTTCTTGGCATAGCTGACAGCTATGATGTAACTGGTCAACTTACGTTTCTATTGGTTGTTTTCTCAAGATTGGATACATGAGAGTTTGTGAGGGCCTCATCACTTAGGAAATAATTCATTGGCCATATTGAAATGGATATTCCTTCTTGGAAGGGGTACAAAATTGGGTCCTGTCACAGCATAATTGATCCCCCTTGAGGAGTGGCGTCATCAGGGAGTGGTCTGAAAGGTCTACTTTTCTTGCAATCTAGGAACATTACAGATTAAGGACAAGTATGGAAATTTCTAAGCATGGTTCCATTGGGAAGCCCTGTAATTGGCTGCCACCTTAACATCTGCAGGCTGTACCACCCTTATTCCCTCTAGGAGTTAAGTTTGGTAATTTAGCAGCACCTTGCATAACTTGTTTAGACTGGTCCATTGTTCAGAGATTATGATTATGAGCCTGCAAACAAGCTGGAAATTTGAACTCTCCTATAAACCTCGGTCTTGCCAGTGTTGCTAAGTTACCTGCTGATGTCTCAGCATCCAAATCCCTCCTCCTCAATACCCTTTATATTTGATGCTCATTCCTTGAATAAAGAGAGACTAGATTGGACTCCTCAATTTGTCCTCACTCTTAGTTTCTCTTGTTTCCTTTTCCTCTCCTCTCCCCCTCTAGTGTCTCTGTGGACTTACCCGCAGCACAGTTCAAGTGCCCCCCCAACGTCAGCCCGGAGAACAGGGGCCTTAGTGAGGGACTCTGTCCTCTGGCCTAAAGGAGAACAAGTAAAGGAGAATACAGGAACAACTTGGGAGCCTACCACACAGCTGAACTTTGGTAAGTGAACAGCGATTATGGGACAAGAAATTAGCCAGCGTCAGACTTTGTTGAAAGTTTAGAAAAGCTTCAAAAACACAAAGGGTAATGGGAAAAACAATTTAGCAATTGTGTCCACTTGGACAAGAAAAGGGCCAGCATCAAATTGTGGTTAAAACTTTAAGAAAGGCTTTAAAGACATGAAGGGTAAAAAATAAATAAATAAATAAGCAATTGTCCATTAGGGCTAAACTTTAACTTAGGAGCAAAGAGACCTGGTAGCCGCATGCCGGTCCCCTATATTGCAACAGCTGTATAGCTCCAGCTTCAGCTTATTTAACTTTTGATATTAGGAAGGAATTAAGGGACCAAGTTGAACTTTTAAAACAACAGATTAAACTGAAAAAATTACATCTGGATTTGATTGCTCAATTAGAGAGGCTGAAAATAGCAAAATTTTAAGTGAAAAGTGAAATTAACCCCAGAATTGCCGCTGCAATTTCTCCACTCAGTGACCCCGAATGAGAGGAATGATTTCTAAATTTACTCCCATGGCCTGGTCCAATATTAAAGCTAGATAATATGGAGGCTTTCCCTGTGACGGAAATGATGTATGCAGGTGGTAGAATTATTCAAGACTACTCAGGTTTCAATTTCAAACTGAATAGAGCATTAAAAACAGTGGTTACCCAGTAGAAAGACACAGCCACCTATACTCTTGCTGTCTTAAATTCTTTGGCTCACGGATGGATAACACCTACAGATTGTCAAGGACTGACCCAAGGAACTTTATCGGGTGTGGATTATGTTTTGTGGAAATTGGAATATATAGAAAATTGCAAAAAGACTGCCAGGCACAATACACAAACTCGTAATGGGTGGAATCTTGATATGTTAGTAGGGGATGATGCCTATGCCAACAGAGAGGCCCAAAAGAAATTTATGGGAGATATGAGTTCCTCTCTCATGAGCGTTAAGCAAAGGCCAGCGATTTACCTCAATGGCACAAATACCTGACAGCCATGCACAAGGAGGTGAGTTCAGGCTACAGGGATGGAGATTTAGCTCAGTGGCACAAGCACCAGCCTGACAAGTGAAAGGCTGTGAATTCAATCCCTTGTAACATTGACATTGAAGCTGTTTATCAACAAGGCCTTGAATACAGCCACATGTCATAGCTGAATTGCCAATAAATCTTTGGGGTAGAGATCTACTGTCACAAATGGAATTAATCGTGGGTAGCCGAAAGTCACTGCTCAAATGTCAACTAGTGGATACTGACCTGGTGAAACTGTATCCTCCAAACAAACATTACATCAGCCCAAGTCACACATGTTGCATGCTGTCACTGCAGCCCTTTCAGCATTTCCCAATGAGCCAGTGAATTTGTATGCTGACAGCTGTTATATTGCACATTCTGTGCCCTGCTAGAAACAGCTGGACAAATCAAAAGTGCCTCCAGCACTGGAGAACTGTTTAGTCAAATACAGGTGCTTATTATAAAAAGAACTTGCCCTTTTTTTTATTGAACGTCTACCTGCTCACTCTGGGTTACCAGAACCTCTGGCCAATGATAATCATGCAGCAGACCTGGCCACTCGACCACAAGCTCTCCTTTGTACTTTAGCTAATGTTAGCTCCGGTGATTACAAAGACAGTGTTACTTCAGCAAAAAACAGTCATCAATTATGCCATATCACTGCTGAAACCCTCCTTCTTATGCACCACATGAATCAGAGAGCAAGCCAGACACATAGTAAAAGATTGCCTCTCTTGGGCCACGCACCTCCTAGTTCCACACTTTGGGGTTAAACCTAGGGGACTTATCCCCAATGAACTATGGCAAATGGATGTCACCCATATTCCTGAGTTTGGCAATCTTAAATACGTTCATGTAACTATAGATACCTTTAGTGGTTTCCTTTGTGCCTCTCTCCAGAATGCCAAAGCTACCAACATGTTATTAGCCATATGTTAACTACCTTATTATTTTGGGATGCCCGGAACAATTAAAGATTTATAATGGTCCAGGCTATGCTAGTTCCGCTTTGCTTGTTTCTGTCAACATCTTAATATACGTCATATAAAAGGCATAACTTAAAACCCTCAAGGTCAAGGCATAGTTGAAAGAGCACAAGGCTTCCCTCAGGTCCCCCTTTACTTTAAAATATAAGAGGCTTCATCCTCCCTAAAACTCACTGTTGATAAAATAAAAAAGGGGCATGGTACCCCACAAGGGGGACACTTGAAAATATTGTATCTCATGCCTTATTTATCCTTAATTTTTTAAATTTGGATGCTGCTGGACAGTCAGCAGCCAAGCGTTTTTGGCATACTGAAACACAAAAGCAATTTGCTTCTGTATTATGGAGAGACCCCCTGATTAACTCATGGCATGGTGCAGACCCAGTCCTTATCTGGGGACGAGGATCAGCATGCATTTCTCTAAAGAGATGAAATCTGTGAGATGGCTGTCAGAATGATTGGTTAAACAAATAGATGAAATACAACAAATAGAGGATAATATTACAGATGACTCCAGGGAAGAAAAAAGACCCCATAGAGAATTTTTTCACAGCTTTTGTTTTCAGAGGATGGAATCAACAGCCTTGATCCTGTCTCTTGGGATTATGATGAATAAGTTGATGGCTTTTGCAAACAACAGGTGGATGCCATAAAAATGCAACCTATACAGGTCCATTACCATAGATTTATAATGGCTGATAGAGAAAATTATGCGGAGCCTGCAAACCTGTATTGTGATGATGTTTTGTGGAAGCATGCTGCAAGCTCTGTTTCTCTTGCCTTGGTGCGATAGACTCATTAGCCAGAGATGGGCAACTGGCCCTCACATGGGATGCCAAACTCCAAATAAGAGAGGAACTGGGCCTCTCGCTGCCCTGCCTTCCAGTGACGGGTGAGGCTAGGTTGGCCCCCCTGTAGAAGTGCCCTGACCCAAGACAGGCTCCATCTCCTCAAGGATGTAGCCTCTTATATTTTAAAGTAAAGGGGGACCTGTGGGAAGCCCTGTAATTGGCTGCAACCTTTACATCTGCAGGCTGCACCACCTTAATTCCCTATAGGAGTTATATTTGGTAATTAAGCAGCACCTTGCATACCTTGTTTAGCCTGATCCATTGTTCAGGGATTATGCTTATGAGCCATCATGGGAGGGAAATTTGAACTGACCTATAAACCTATATCTTGCCCTGTTGCTAAGGTACCCGCTGATGTCTTAGCATCCAAATCCCTCCTCCTCAATACCCTATGTATTTGATACTCATTCACTGAGTAAAGAGAGACTGGATTGGACTTCCTCAACTTGTCTCTGCTCTTTGTGTCTCTTGTGTCCTTTTCATCCCCACTCCTCCTCTAGGGTCTCCATGGACTGACCCATAGGCCAGATCAGGTTCCAGGAGACCTCAATGTGGATTTTGTGAAAGCAGGCAAATGAGTGTCCCTGAAAAACCTGAAATGTATTTTGATTATTCTCATCTTGGTGTGCCTAATCTTAGAAGGGAATGTGATAGAATAGGTATATTTAGGGTTAATAAATCTCATATTATAGATAATCAACATGCATCCAGGCAGCGCTGAGCAGACATTTGATCCTCCATTTGAAGGTAATCAGAAAGACATGGGAAAATGAGGGCAGAGATACCAAACTTTATTGCTTTCAGTTGGCCATTGCTCATCAGCATGTCTAACCTCTGGGTCCCTGATACAATATAGTAAAAAATATACATTTTCTCATTGTCTCAATCAGTGGAATGGCATTCCTGGAACTTTGGGCATTTGCTGCTATGTGCGTGCCTATGAGATGCTGTAGGCACTGGCCCAAGAGGCAGCACCTATTACCAAACACATGAATCAGATGATTGGTGGGCTTGAGTTTCCTTTCTACCCTCTACCCTCTGGGAGGGGAATAGACCACGAGAGAGAGTTAAAGCTCTAATGGTTGAACACTGCTATCTATGTAATAAAACCTCAATGAAAACCCTAATGGTGGGTTTAGGGTACTTCCATACTGGTGAACATGTTGGTGAGTAGAGAGCAAGCACACCCAAAATAAGACATGGTTCACCCCTGCTAGTCCTTCCCTATGCATCTGTTCAAGCAATTCCCATATAACTTTGCATAAACACTAGTTTCTTCTTTATTTATTTTCCATTAATTAATTAAATTTGTTGATTTTCTTAGTATTGAAGATAAACCTAGGCCTTTGTACTAAGCTATGCATCAGATTTTTTTTTTCATTTTTTCTTATTTTGGAACAAGGTCTAAGAGTCCCAGGCTGGACTCTGACTTGTGATCCTCCTGCCTTTGCATTCTAGATGCTGGGATCACATGCATGGACCATTACATCAGGCTCAGATTGCCTTCTTGAGTTCTGAGAATCATTCAGGAGAATTCTCAAAGATGGGTAGTTGAATCCCAACGTTTATATAGCCAAGGCATTATAATTTGGAATCTGCCCTGAGACAGATGCCTCGGAGTGATTCATTTTCTTATCTCAAGCCACGTAGCCATTGGAAGCTACCAATCACACATTATAGAACTTTTAGTTTCAAGATTTCCATAATAGTTCTTAAGCAATAAGTTTAGCTGGGCAGGGCTTGGAAAAGAAGTGTTGTTGTGAGAACACTGAGGATGGGGCTCTGGGCTCTGCATCCAGGACCTAACAGATTTCACTGAAAAGTGAAGTCTGCTGCTACAAAGGACTGACAGCCACTTTCTCCTAGCATTTATTTAGGTATTCACTGCAATATGTTAACAGACATCATACTTCTGTTTTAATATACAATATACTGCAACATTCTTGTGCAACGTATTAATTTGCAAAATTACAATGTTTTGTGGATTAAATATTTGCTTATTTTTGAAATATAGAAGGAACCCACGCATTTTGTAAGGAGTAAAACAAAATAATGATATATAAAGAAGGAGTTAAGACTCACCAACAATATGCCATTTTTCTGTTGTCTTCAACACAGCCAACAATAACAAGTTCCATCAATGCCATTCCACTGATTGAGATAAAGACAAAATGTTTTCTCCCTTCTATTCTTCCATGACATCATGACTGGCTACCGAATTTTTTATAAATAATGGCAACTTGCAAAGATGCCAAAAGGAAAACAGGATTTAGGATATTAATCATTTATGTATTCATTATTCAAACACAACCATTGTTAACCTATAGAGATTACTATATCTATACGACAACTTCTCCTATGTATATTTCTCCCATATATTATATATATATATATAATTTCATATATAGATAAATAAAGAAGCAAACTATGTATATACTTATACTACATATATATATAATATATAAACAAATAAACAAGCATTATTATTTGTTTGAGACAGGGTCTTGCTGTGTAGTTCAAGCTGGGCTTGAACTCACTGTGTAGCCCAGGCTGGTCAAAAACTTGCAACAATTCTCCTGTCTCGGCCACTAGAGTGCTGGGATTACAGGATTGTACCACTGGACATTTTTTTAATAACTTGTATTTCTTAACTCAAATCTCAGGCATCATCCAATTAATGAATGCATAAATACTTCAGTGGTGTGTATAACTGTATTTACATTTTCAGCATATAACGGTACACTTCACAAAATTATTGTAATGTCCAGAAAACAAGCCACCAAATGGAGTTTTTGCATTTTCAGCTCCTGCCCACTGCTCACCAGATACGTTGTTTGATTTCGTTGTTTGCCATGTGGATGGCCCTGCATGACCATTTCCCTAGTTCAATGCAGACTCTCTGCTGTCCCTGCAGTCCAGCGGCCTGCCTTCTGCCTGGAGCGTTCCTTCATGGGTCCCTGCAGGATTCTGTTGATCAGATACTACTACAATGCCCACTCCGGACACTGTGAAGCCTTTTTATATGGTGGCTGCAGAGAAAAGCAGAACAACTTTGAGACCAAGGAAGAGTGCATGAGGGTCTGTGGACAGAATCCCACGGTGCTCACTACAACTGCAAGTGCTGGAACACAAGGTGAGGATTAATTCTGTCAATCTGTGAACTGGGGAGCTTTTACTGTCTTCTGATGTCCTCTTAAATTTCTTTCATCCCTGTGTAATTTTCACTGTCGATGTCTTTTATCTTCTTGACCAGACTGATTTCTAGGACTATAATTTTTTAAAAAGCTATTGTAAATGGAATTTGTCACCTAGCTTGTGTATAGAAAACCTATCAACTTTTAATGTTGATGTTGGATTCTTTCCTTCTTCATTGTGTTTCGAATGAGTTTTACTGAGTTACCCACTCTGACCTGAAAATGACATTCTTCTAGAAGCCTTCTAGACTCTTCCACCGCCAGTTACATTGGACAGGACACTGGGGCTATGTAAGCACTGGTGGTAACGGAGGCAGCTCACCCCAGATTGACCAAGTCAGAATCCATATTTAAAGAGATCCAGGAAGCTCGCAGTGTTACTGTTTGGGCAGCCCTGTGGCTGAGACTTGGCTCAGCACCAGAACAGGAAGCCTGAGCAAGGGGGAAGATCACAGAACCCTTTGGTGGATATCGGCTCCTTCCTTTCTTGCATCTTACAATTTTCAACCAGTCAACCTGGATATGATATATTCTGCCAGGAACAGGTTCCACAGAAACATCCATTTAATTCAAATAGATGAGCTGACTCTACCTGTATGTGGCTCTATTTCTCATCACTGTCATGTGGGCAGCTTGTATCGGGGACTTACTGGGCTAGGTCATCCTGCTTCTCCTCTCCTTTGTGCTCAATAGGTGAGGCTTTGGGTTGAAGCAAACCTCTCCCTGTCTATGGAGCTTTCCTAGGGAGTTAAGGAGTCTTACCTCCAGGAATAGTTCATGATTTTATTATAATTTTAGTATACCACACATTCAGCAGCAGCTATGTCATTCCTTGGACCCCAACTCTGGAACTCTTTTATTCCTGCTCCTTGCCCTCCATGGCCTCCAGCCCTTCTCTGTCCCACTGTGGTATTGTTGCTGGAATTCAGGAGCAAAATCCAGAGGTCCAGGGATTTCAAGGATCAGGCTCAGCCCTCTGCTCCGCGAGGCCAATCAAGGAAAGGTGCACATAGTGAGTTCAAGGCCAGTCTGAACTACATAGTGAGATCCTGTCTTGAAAAACCACAAAACATAACAAACTCAAAAGCTTAGGTAATGAAGCTTTGATTAAACCACCAGATAGAGTTTGGAACACTTCTGTGTGTTGGTGAACATACCGATGGCCTTAAGAGAGAGCTACACCCCAGAGACAGCATAGCTCTGGTCATTTGGGAACATCCCATGCATTTGACTATTTGGATTCTTCCTGTGTTGTGTCCTTTGTTATACACACAGTGAGAAAAGTATCCTTTTTCCAGCAGTGTACATTAAATCCAGGCCTTTACACTAATCTATATCCCCACCCTTTTATTGTTGTTTATTTGAGAACCAGGGACCTGGATTCATCTGAGACTCCTAGAAGAGTTCGGGGCAAAGGGTGGAGGTCAGGGGCCACTCGTGCCTCACATTTGCACAATACCTCTGAAGCTGAGTATACCCTGATAATTTTTTTGTCTTTTTGAGACAGGGTCTAGCAGTGCAGTTCAGGCTGGCCTTGAGCTCAGTCTGTAGCCTAGGCTGGTCTCAAACTCTCAAGGATCCTCCTGCCTCAGCCTCCCGAAGAGTGCTGGGATTACAGGCATGAGCCACCACGCCTGGCTTACCCTCATCATTTTGTAATGTTACATCCTACAATGGCATAAGTAACAAAATTCATAGTGTCCAGAAAGCAACCTATCACCATTTTCATTTTTCCATTTCCCTTCTAACTATTCACTGGACCCATAGGTTGCTTCTCCTTTCATCACCCTAGTTGACCACAGAATCTCTCATCGCTGCATCCAGCTGCCTGCTTCTGCAGGAGTCCTGAAACCCATGTGACCCTGCACCCTAAAGCTCTGCAGTGACACTTAGTTTTCCTCTCTCTGTCTCTCTGGCTTTTTCATTAAGTACTTTCTATGTTGTTCTTCCACACTGAGCCACACTCACAGCCCACATATTTTCAGTATTTTCTGATTAAACTAATGAGTGAATTCTGATTTTTGTAACACCAAGCCTTAATTGACGCCATTTCAGAGATGGTGGTATGTCGCATTGTTCTGCAGAGTTAAAGACCACTTTACTTTTTGCACACTCAGGCTGAGACCTACCAGTTTTAGGCAGCAATCCCATGACAGAAATCCCAAAGGCAGCTACCTCTTGATGGTTAGCCAAAGCTTCACAAAACCTCGGTCACCCTTCACTGTTAAAGCTTATTTATTTTTTGTGTTTTTGTGTGTGAGCTTGGGATCTGAAGTTTTTTTATTTAAAGAAAAAAAAAGTGGTAAAAGGGTACAAGTAATACAGAATTTCAAGAAAAAAACATAAAGTAAAGAATCACTAGTTAATAGATTACATATTGCCCCTTTGAAAACAGTTGTCCAAATTACAAAATTAAAGCATACAGAGTGGACATTCAGACAGTGAGATTGCAGACAGTTCCGTTTAATGATCCAACAAAAACTCAGTAATATGGTTTTCTATTCTACACACTTAAATACACATGCAGTGATATCCTTTAGACCACTTTCTTTTCCTCTCATTTTTACAATAACAATTACACTTTTTGGGTTTTATTACTCACACAGTTCTTATAACTTTTTTTACCTGAAAAAAAAAAAAACCAAATGTGACAAAGCAAAACAGAGTCGGATAGAACAGAAGGATGGACATAGTACATAATGCAAAAACAGAATACCAGGTGATCAAAGATGGTTACCAGTATGCCTCTTGCTATCTTAAAAAGCGTTGCCTATATCAACAGGTATAACAGAATTGAACAAAACAGTATAGAACAAGACCAACAAAGCCTACATTGGAGACCTTACAGAACTTCAAAAGAATATCATCATCAAACCATAATGGGCATCATAGTAAATCTTACTACCTTCAAAGTGGTTGCCTATACCCTCAAACTTGATACTATCAAACCAAACAGAATGTAGTAAAATCAGTCAGAACAAGATGGGGAGTGCAATATTGGGGTTCAAATCAGGTTAACAGGTAAACAAAATGTTAGTATAATATATCCCGCTATTTTTTAATTTACTTTTCCCTTGATTAAAAAATAAGAAAAAATAAGTTCATTTTTTTAAGGTATAAAAGGAGGAGATTGCTATTAAATAAACCTCGGTCTTGCCAGTGTTGCTAAGTTACCTCCTGATGTCTCAGCATCCAAATCCCTCCTTCTCAATACCCTATATATTTGATACTCATTTCTTGAATACAGAGATATTTAATAGGACTTCCTCAACTTGTCCCCACTGTTTGTGTCTCTTGTTTCCTTTTCTTCTCCCCTCCCTCTCTAGTGTCTCTGTGGACTTACCCGCAGGCCAGGTCAAGTGACCACCCAACGTCGGCCCCGAGAACGGGGGACTTAGTGAGCGACCTTGTTCTGGAACCTACAGTAGAGCAAGTAAAGGAGAATACAGGACCCACGTGGGAGCCTACCACGCAGCTGGACCTCGGTAAGTGAAAAGCGATTATGGGACAAGAAATGAGCCTCCATGAGATTTTTGGTTAACATTTTGAGAAAGGCTTTAAAGGCATGAATGGTAAAAAAAAAAAAAAAAAAAAAAGCAATTGTCCATCAGGGCTAAACTTACTGGGGACCAAAGCGACTGGCTAGCCTCATGCCCCTCCCCCATACTGAAACAGCTGTATAGCTGTGGCTTCAGCGTGTTTAACTTTCTATACTAGGAAGGAATTAAGAGACCAAATAGAACTTTTAAACAACAGATTAAACTGAAAAAAGAACATCAGGATTTGATAGCTCAATTTGAAAGGCTGAAAATAGCAAAATTTAAAATGTAAAGTGAAACTAACCCCAGAATTTACTCCGAGCTTCTTCTGCTCATGACCCCCGTTGAGAGGCATGATTTAAAAATTTCCCCCCCGGTTCTGATCCCATATTAAAGCTAGATGATATAGAGGCTTTCCCTGTGATGGAAATGATGGATGCAGAGAGTGATGTTATTGGAGTCTACTCTGGTTTCAATTTCAAATGGAATAGAGAATTCAAAACAGTGATTACACAGTAGAAAGACACAGCCACGTATACTCTTGCTGTCTTAAATTCTTTGGCTGACGGCTGGATCACACCTACAGATTGGCAAGGATTGACCCAAGCAACTTTATCAAGTGGGGATTTTCTTTAATGGAAATTGGAATATATAGAAAATTGCAAAGAGACCTCCAGGCACCATAGGCAAGCCTGCAATGGGTGGGACCTTGAAATGTTAATAGGGGAGGATGCCAATGCTGACAGAGAGGCCCAAAAGCAATTTAAGGGAGATATGAGTTCTTCTCTCATGAGCATTAAGCAAAGGCCAGGGATTTACCTCAATGGCACAAGCACCTGCCAGCCAAGCACAAGGCTGTGAGTTCAGTCCCCAGGGCTGGAGATTTAGCTCAGTGGCACAAGCACCTGCCTGACAAATGTAAGACTATGAGTTCAATCCGTGGTAACACTGACATTGAAACTGCTTATCAACAAGGCCTTAAATACAGCCATATGTCATAGCTGGATTATCAATAAAACTTTGGGGGAGAGATCTACTGGCACAAATGGGATTACTCATGGGTAGCCCAAAACCATTGTTCCTGCTCAAATGTTAAATAGTGGATATTCACCTGGTAAATCTGTATCCTTCCAAACAAACAGTACATCAGCCCAGATAACAGAGTTGCATGCTGTCACTGCCTCCCTTTCAGCATTTCCCAATGAACCCATGAATTTATATACTTACAGCGCTTATATTGTATACAATGTGCTCCTGCTAGAAACAGCTAGCCAAATCAAAGGTGCCTCCAGCACTGGAGAACTGTTTAGGCAAATATAGGTGCTTATTTTATTTTATTTTTTTTATTTAAAGAGAAAAACAAAACTAAACGAAGCAAGACAGTAAAAGGCTAGAAGTAATACAGAATTTCAAGAGAAAAAATATACAGTAATAGTTCACCAGTTAATAGATCACACATGGTCATCTTACAAAGAGCTGTCCAGATTACAAAATTAAAGCATACAAAGTAGAGATTAATACAGTGAGATTGCAGTCAGTTCTGTTCAATGATCCAAGAAAAACTCAGCAATATGGTTCTCTATCCTACACATTTAAATAAACTTGCAGTTATATCCTTTAGATCACTTTCCTTCCTCTCTTTTTTACGCTAACAATCACACATTTTAGTTTCCATTACTTCCACAGTATTTTTTAACTTTTTCTTTGAAGAGGAAAAGAGAAAATATTTTTAAAAGGCCGAAAAACAAAAAACAAATCAAGACGGACCAAAGAAAAACCCAATGTGACAAAGCAAAACAGAGTCATTTAGATCAGGAGGATGGACATAGCATAAAATGAAAAAAAATAAAAATTAAAAATAAAAAAATAAAGGGGGGATTACTAGGTGGTCAACAATGGTTACCATTATGCCTCTTGTTATCCTAAAAAGAGTAGCCTATATCAGCTAGTATAAAAGAATTGAACAAAACTGTACATAAGACCAATAAAACCACATTGGAGATCTTAAAGGATTCCAAAGAAGATAATAGTCAAATAATAATGGGCATCATAAAATATCTGGTTGCCTCCCAAATGTTAGCCTATATCCTCAAACTTGATACTATTAAGCAAAACAGAATATAATAAAATCAGTCAGAACAAGATGTGGAGTACACTACAGGGGTTCACATCAGGTTAATAGGGAAGCAAAAAAATTACTATAATCTATCACACTATTTTTAATTTAGTTTTCCCTTAGTTAAAAGATACTAAGAAATAAATTAATTTTTTTAAAAAAGAAAGAAAAAGAGGGAGGGACTGAGATTAAAAAAAGAACATATCACTAGAACAACACCGGTCAGAACCGAAAAATTTAACCATCATTGTGTTTCACCCCCAGATAGCTTGACATTAATAGTAGTTACCATAGTGACTCTTTCCTTGAAATATTTGAGTCTAACTTCGTATACTATAGCATCAAATTTATCAAGACAGTGTGAGACCGTTCAAGAGAATGAAATTATTGCAGGGTATTTAGAACCAGCTAGCAGAAACCAAACATCAATTTCTATATTATCTCTTTGTCTATAAAAAACTTGCTTATACTATCGCATACATTAAGATATAATAAGGTACCACAGTTTAGAACCAATGGAAACAAATGAACAACAACTTGATGGGGCTTCAAAACAGGATGATATTAAATCAGCACTAGCTATTGTGCTCTTATTTTCTTCAAAATAGTTATTTGTAGTATCACAGACAATAAAATAAAACCACCCAAATTAAAACCATTCCAATTAATGAGTGAAAACATTATATGGCTTCAAACCAGTGTGGCTGGGAATCATGATTACCACGTACTTTCATGTATTCTTATCGTTTCTTACACTAGGGAGACTATTCGGTATTTATACAGGTGAGTTTGATTTATTTCACTTACGAGTATGGTCTCGAGCTGCGTCCATTTATTTATAAATGTCTCAATGTGATCATTCTTTATAGCGGAGTAGTACTCCATTGTATAAAAATACCACAACTTTTTTTTTTTAAAGAAAAGGAAACAAAAGAATACATGGAGAAAAAAAAAGGGGGTAGAAATAATACAAGCTTACAGAAAAACAAACGGTCAGAAATTGCTGGTTGATAAGTTACACATTGTCATCTTAGAAATAGCTGTTCATGTTATAGAATTAAAGTATTTAGAATGACATTCATAAAGTGACACTACAAAACGTTCTGCTCTATGATCGAACAAAAGCTCAGTAATATGATTATCAGTCCTACACATTTGTTTTACATCTCAAAGAGGGTAAGATTGAACATATCAAAACAGAACAAAGCAGTTAAAAAAACAATTTAAAGAAATACAGATTTCGCAGCAAGCCCAATGGAGATCTTCATTGTCTATCTAACTGTCTCTAGTTTCTTACAAATAGTTGTCCCCATCTTCACCCACTTTATATACTTATTGCATATTATAGAACTAATCAAATCATTGGAGGCTTTTTAGGTCCTCAAGTTCCAAATTAGGGAAGACAATAGTAACTACCATCGCATCTCTCGTTCTCTTTGTGATAGCTGTCCCCATCTTTACATATGCTGAAATTGAACTCAAGAAACCAGTCCAATGTCATTCTAATCAGCGAACAATAGTATTGCTAGAATTTCTATCATAATGCAACAAAATTAGCCTCGGGTTTCTTAGCATCTCTTCCTCAGAGTATCTGTTCATTACATCTTGCATTATATAATCTGTTCCCGTAAATAATTAAAAAGAAAAAAAAAACCCATGTGTGAATTTCTACATATATATCTATCCTCTCTGTATTATAGGGAATACCAAGTCATAGCAAGACAGCAAAACAATTTCCTAGAAAAACATGCAATGGATAAGACATATAAGACCACAATACAGATGATCTTCCATAGTTACTATGTTTTCTCTTGTTATTTTCAATAGATTTGACCACAACACTGGCTTATTATAGTTAAATATAGTATCACCTATTTTTATAAAAACTTAACTTTGACGGCATTGTAGGATTTGAGAGCTGTTACTAATTAATACCAGTTTGGATATCCTTTACATCTTGTCATCCTCAGAGTAGTTGCCTCTACTTTTGGGGTTGATACTAACAAGCATACCAATTTCAAATAAAATCAGCCAAGGCCAACCCATAGTCTTATGATTCAGATTCAATTAAAATCAGTCATAGTAAGACAATGTAAGTATTGTAGGATTTCAGTTTAAGTTAATAGGAAAGTAAGGATAGTTACCATGGTATAACCTGCTATTTTTGGGTCAAGATGTCTGTGCCCTCAAATCTGACATGAGTGGACAGACCAGTATAAATTAAATTCAAATTAAATATGTCAATGAGACTACTATGTCTTTTAAATCCTTATACACCATTAACAATGACCTCTACCCTTTTCTTTTTTTTATAGAGTTTCAGCGCTGTCTATACTAAAGGCTATAGCTTACCGTCTCTGTCTCATGTCTGTTACTCCACTTTTCTGCTATAATTTGTCCACCTTATTCCCTCATTCCACTGTCTGCCAAGTTCACTGAGGCCTCTCTGCCACTGTTGCTGGAATCCTGGAAAAATACCACAACTTTTTTATCCATTCCTCAGTTGATGGACACTTAGGTTGTTTCCAAGATCTGGCTATTACAAATTGTGCTGCTATAAACATGGGTGCACATATATCACTGTGGTATGATGCTTTCAATTCTTCTGGGCATATGCCTAGGAGTCGAATAGCTGGGTCAAATGGTGCTTCCAGTCCCAGCTTTCTGAGAAATCTCCAGACTGACCTCCACAATGGTTGCACCAGTCTACACTCCCACCAACAGTGCAGGAGAGTTCCTTTTTCCCCACAGCCTCTCCAGCATTTGTTGTTGGTGGTTTTCTTGATCTTGGCCATTCTTTCAGGAGTGAGATGAAATCTCAGTGTGGTTT